TCCTAGAGGGTTATAGGTTCTTATAATAGAGAATAAAGGTTCTCTGATATAATAGGGGATAAAGATTTCTGTTCTCACCTAGATTAGAGCATTACAGGTTCCGGTTCTCTCTTATAACAGAGGGTTAAATATTTTATTTATCTCCTATAACAGGGGGGTGGGGGGTTAAATGTTAAATGTCTGGTTATTTCCTATAACTGAGGGATAAATGGTTAAAAGTCCTAGTTCCTCCCTTTTTTAAGAGGTTTAAGGTTCAGGGGCACAGCTTACATCACGTGGTGGGTGGACACTGGAATGGAGCCGCTATGATCAAACAAGTCTTCTACCAGTAAGTTCACGGACAGTTTAATAACTGGCTCGAAACCAAACTCGGGGTTTATTAACTAAACAGTTTGTGTTATTTTATAAACTGACAAGGCAACCAGAAAGAGAAGCTGTTAGAGGCTGTTTTAGCTGGATTGATTTAAAATGTGCTATTCTCTGTTCCCCGCTGTTACTAGAATACTCCCCCTGTATGTTCAATATCAGCGACATTCCGCATTTACCTTAACTATATAAAATACCATTTCCTCCCCGAGTCACAAATATTGGGAAACGGTATGTTTTACTAAGAACGAAACCGGGATCAAAAGCGCAAATGTTTTAAATGTAAAATATAATTATTATGCAAAAAAATCATTGAAAACTAACTTCTTCAAGAAAAGCATATTAATTAAACTATTAGCAGGTTTTTATCCCCCATCCCCCATGACTCCTCTCCTGCAACTGTCAAAAATTACCTACTAAGCCCTCAGTGAATACTTTTCTAACAACCTACTTCAACCCCTACTTCTACCCTTTGTGTCACTATACCCCACTCACTCTAGAATGTAAACTCACTGAGCAGGGCCCCCAATCCCTCTGTTACTGTGTCACTATACCCCACTCCCTCTAACATGTAAACTCACTGAGCAGGCCCTCAATCTATCTGTTACTGTGTCACTATACCCCACTCAGTGAGTTTACATTCCGTTACTGTGTCACTATACCCCACTCCCTCTAACATGTAAGCTCACTGAGCAGGGCCCTCAATCCCTCTGTTACTGTGTCACTATACCCCACTCCCTCTAGCATGTAAGCTCACTGAGCAGGGTCTCAATCCCTCTGTTACTGTGTCACTATACCCCACTCCCTCTAACATGTAAACTCACTGAGCAGGCCCTCAATCCCTCTGTTACTGTGTCACTATACCCCACTCCCTCTAACATGTAAACTCACTGAGCAGGCACTCCAATCCCTCTGTTACTGTCACTATACCACACTCCCTCTAACATGTAAGCTCACTGAGAAGGGCCCTCAATCCCTCTGTTACTGTGTCACTATACCCCATGCCCTCTAACATGTAAGCTCACTGAGCAGGGCCCTCAATCCCTCTGTTGCTGTGTCACTATACCCCACTCCCTCTAACGTGTAAACTCACTGAGCAGGGCCCTCAATCCCTCTGTTACTGTCACTATACCCCACTCCCTCTAACATGTAAGCTCACTGAGCAGGGCACTCAATCCCTCTGGTACTGTGTCACTATACCCCACTCCCTCTAAGCTCACTGAGCAGGCCCTCAATCCCTCTGTTACTGTGTCACTATACCCCACTCCCTCTAACATGTAAGCTCACTGAGCAGGCCATCAATCCCTCTGTTACTGTGTTACTATACCCCACTCCCTCTAGCACGTAAAATCACTGAGCAGGGCCCTCAATCCCTCTGTTACTGTGTCACTATACCACCCTAACATAAACTCACTCCTCGAGCAGGGCCCCCAACTCTGTTACTGTGTGTCACTATACCCCACTCCCTCTAACATGTAAGCTTACTGAGCAGGGCCCTCAACCCCTCTGTTACTGTGTCACTCCCTCTAACATGTAAACTCACTGAGCAGGCCCTCAATCCCCCTGTTACTGTGTCACTATACCCCACCTCCTCTAACATGTAAACTCACTGAGCAGGCCCTCAATCCCTCTGTTACTGTGTCACTATACCCCACTCCCTCTAGCATGCAAACTCACTGAGCAGGGCCCTCAATCCCTCTGTTACTGTGTCACTATACCCCACTCCCTCTAACATGTAAACTCAATGAGCAGGGCCCTTAATCCCTCTGTTACTGTGTCACTATACCCCACTCCCTCTAACATGTAAACTCACTGAGCAGGGCCTTAAATCCATTTCTTACTGTCTCACTATACCCCACTCCCTCTAACATGTAAGCTCACTATAGGCTCCTCTAACCTCTGTTACCGTCACTATACCCACCTCCTCTAATATGTAAACTCACTGAGCAGGCCCAACTTGTTACTGTCATACCCCACTCCCTCTAATATGTAAACTCACTGAGCAGGACCCTCAATCCCTCTGTTACTGTGTCACTATAACCCACTCCCTCTAACATGTAAACTCACTGAGCAGGAACCTCAATCCCTCTGTTACTGTGTCACTATACCCCACTCCCTCTAACATGTAAACTCACTGAGCAGGCTCTCAATCCCTCTGTTACTGTGTCACTATACCCCACTCCCTCCAACATGTAAACTCACTGAGCAAGCCCTCAATCCCTCTGTTACTGTGTCACTATACCCCACTCCCTCTAACATGTAAACTCACTGGCCCTCAATCCCTGTTACTGTCACTATACCCCTGTGTCACTCTGTTACTGTGTCACTATACCACTCCCTCATGTAAACTCACTGAGCAGGGCCCTCAATCCCTCTGTTACTGTGTCACTATACCCCACTCCTCTAACATGTAAACTCACTGAGCAGGCCCTCAATCCCTCTGTTACTGTGTCACTATACCCCACTCCCTCTAACATGTAAACTCACTGAGCAGGCCCTCAATCCCTCTGTTACTGTGTCACTATACCCCATTCCCTCTAGCATGTAAACTCACTGAGCAGGGCCATCAATCCCTCTGTTACTGTGTCACTATACCCCACTCCCTCTAACATGTAAACTCACTGAGCAGGACCCTCAATCTCTCTGTTACTGTGTCACTATACCCCACTCCCTCTAGCATATAAACTCACTGAGCAGGGCCATTATTTCCTCTGTTACTGTGTCACTATACTCCACTCCCTCTAACATGTAAACTCACTGAGCAGGACCCTCAATCCCTCTGTTACTGTGTCACTATATCCCACTCCCTCTAACATGTAAACTCACTGAGCAGGCCCTCAATCCCTCTGTTACTGTCACTATACCCCACTCCCACTAACATGTAAACTCACTGAGCAGGGCCCTCAATCAATCTGTTACTGTGTCACTATACCCCGCTCCCTCTAACATGTAAACTCACTGAGCAGGCCCTCAATCCCTCTGTTACTGTGTCACTATACCCCACTCCCCCTAACATGTAAACTCACCGAGCAGGGCCCTCAATCCCTCTGTTACTGTGTCACTATACCCCACTCCCTCTAACATGTAAACTCACTGAGCAGGACCCTCAATCCCTCTGTTACTGTGTCACTATACCCCGCTCCCTCTAACATGTAAACTCATTGAGCAGGACCTCAATCCCTCTGTTACTGTGTCACTATACCCCACTCCCTCTAACATGTAAACTCACTGAGCAGGGCCCTCAATCCCTCTGTTACTGTGTGTCCAACTTGTCTGGTTTCAACTACATGTCTGTTCGTCCACCCATTGTAAAGCGCTGCGGAATTTGTTGGCGCTATATAAATAACATAATAATAATGATAATAATAACTGATCAGCCACAACATTAAAAATCACCTGCCTAATATCAATGATCCCCCTTGTGCTGCCAAAACAGCTCTGATGAATTGAGGCATGGACTCCACAAGACCTCTGAATGTGTCCTCTGGTATCTGGCACCAAGACATTAGCAGCAAATCCTTTTCCATATGACTATAGGTTCATGTTTCCACTCAGAGTAGATTAGTGGTTATTGATTTAATCATTTCTCCTTACTGAGAATCTAATGTGTTTCTTGCACCATACATGGCTACACCCCATTAGGGAGAGTTTGTTTGTATTGCTATTTCAATTAAATGTGTGCTTGTTCTAGGATACATTATCCAAACTAGGTGTTTAGGGAGGTCAGAGTAACATAAAAACGCCATCCATATCTAGACATAATGTGCGATTCGTGATAAGTGTATACAGCCAGAACATCTTCCACTTCATCTCTTGACAAGTTCACTGTTAACAGATCCACTAGATGGCAATCAACTAGAGAACATTGTGTGAACATCTTCAATTATATTACAAAGAAACGTTTCCTTTTAAATTAAATTGTCTCTGTCATCTTCTGAGGTCTTTGCATATTTTGTAAAGACCCTTAATGATGGAGACATTGTTGCTTGAAGAGCAATGGTCACAGGGTAAAAGAAAATGTAGGTTTTACTTACCTGAAGCTGTCCTTAGCAGCCACCTCTATCTTCTTCTGCAGGATCCTCTTCAGCTCCTGGTGCTTCATCTGCCAGGAGTCCACGTTGGTGTTGTACTCTTTCACATATACAGGAGTCCAAAATGATTGTCTAAGGAGGATTCTGTGTGGACGTTAGAGCCTGGAAAGACAATGTTTTAGTTTTTCTTACTATATCTGTAACTAGTGGGAGCTTGACAAAGCTTCACAATGCTAGCTCCATTTTTTCGTCTAGCTTTGTAAAGCATAGGAAAAATATATAAGACAAAGTAGACTTTGTCTTATGATATCTTTAGACTGAATTGAAGTTTCAGTAAAATTCCAACAGGGTCAATTTAAATATTTAAAAAATAATTTATATGTAAAAAATACACATTTTGGGGGGAGGGGGGGGGGGAATGGTGGTGGAGAACTGCTTTATGTGGACACTTTGTATAAAATCTAGTGTGTGTATTCAAACGTTCTCCTATAATCCAGAGACTGCTAAGGGGGTCCTTTGAAGAAGAGCCTAAAGGGAAACCTGGATACATGAGAATTATCTTCCTAAAAATAAACCACTATTCTCCCACTTTTTATTGTTGCCCTACTCCCGCTGTCCCAACGTTTCGCTAATTCACGATAACACGTTTATCTTGGATCCGATGTGAGAAAACCCACGGGATTCGTCATGGAATTGCTCAATTCAGCCATATGTCTGCAGATCTCAAACTGTTCTCTGGAAAATCTGTTATTTTAGTCAGAGACGATGAAACAAATAATTCTGTTTCTATCCACAGCCCAATAAACGTACCAGGGTTTACAGAACATTTACCAACGTAGCTTAATGATTCAGACGGCTGGCTTGCAGTAGTTCTGGCACTTGGGAATGGTAATAAATTGTATTATCAAGATTGAAACTATTTGTGACCTGCTGCCTGTGATATTCTACTTCTTACAACATCAGTATCACACAGATTCAGGGCCGTAACCATCCCACGAAGAAAATGTGACTGCAGATTTTATTTCATGACTGGTTTCACAGCCCAGGACGAGTTATCGTCATACCATGCCGTACTACAAGTCAATATTACAGATATTGGGCTTTTATGTCTGTATCATGGATAAAGCTCTCTGTTCACACCCACTTGTCTCTTAAAGAGTCTATAAACATTGTACTGAAGGCAGATTGTTTAACACACCATATGGGAAATCAAGTCCTGCTTTATTGCCTAACGAGAATAAGCACACATGGTGATAATTGTGTTATTACAGTTCTAATGTGTCTGCAATAATGGTTTTGTACAATCATTGCGCCTATGTTGATCCGAGACCCCTGCTACACAAAATATCAATTTTTGTTTCCAATAAACCCCTCACACTGGTACTTATATATAGAAGACTGCCAGGCTATGCAACCATACCCACAATTGTGTATACAATATTAGCATAATTGCAAATTAAAGTTGTTTATTGGAAAATGATTTAGTTTACTAATTATTCCATAACTATTGTCAGAGAGTTCACGGCACAGCGGCACAGGGCGCCGCGATTCTGCAAGCCTCTGAATGCTGAATACAGAGACTGGTTCATTGTATCCAGTGCTGCAATATAACTACAGCTCCTTAAACACACACAAAGCAACTATTATTTTTTCGCTATGTTTCAACTGAGTGCTCTATGCAGATGGCCGAGATATAACTTTTAAAGTATAACGTTTAGTACCATAATACACATAATCTTCCGGCAAGCGTCCTAGAACCTCAGCATTGTCAGATGTTTCAACTGTGCATGCGCAGCCGAGTCACTCATGCGCAATTGACTTTCCACAATTTTTAGCAATAGAACATTGATTGA